TAGCCACCCATTGAGATAGGTGCTAACTCATTTTATAGATTTAAAAAAAATTGAGGCATAGAGAAATCAAACATTTCCAAAGTTACACCTAATATAAGGCACACCTGGTTGTTGACCCAGGCCGTCTAGGTCCAGAATCCAAGTCTCCACCTCTATGCTGTATCACCTATGTAGGGGTCATTGGTGATATTTGAGATGACCATCCAGTAGCACAGAAACAAAGCATTGCTTTGTTATCTACTGACAAACATTGTCTTTTACTCTTAGCATTCTGGTTAAATAAAATCATGGTTGCTTTCCTTTCAGTTTCCTCCCTTCCTCAACTAGGAATGAGAGATATTCCTGGACATGCAGGGTAGTCTGACATGTTGGCAGGCATTGAAGTAGGTTGAGTAATGCCTCGCAAAGATATCAGGCCCTAATCCCCAGAATCTGAATATTCTTTTATATGGTAAAGTTTTCACAGAAGCATCTAAATTAAAAATCTTGAGATTAGAAGATCATCTTGAATTATCTGGTTGAGCCCTAAATACCATCAAAAATGTCCTTATAAAAGAATGGCAGAGGGTAGTTAAACACACAAAGGAGATAGCAATGTGAAGACAAAAACAGAGATTGGAGTGATGCAGCCTTAGACCAAAGAACAGGCAAGAATGCTTCCAGCAGAAGCTAGGACGGGCAAGGGACTGATTCTCCTCCAGAGCCTCTGCAAGTAATATGGTCCCATTGACACTTTGATTTCAGATTTCTGGCCTCCAGAACTATGAGAGAATATATTTCTGTTGTTCTAAGGCATCAGTGTTATGGATTGGAAACAATACAGCAATAGGAAACTAATACAGGGGTCAATACATAGCAGCCAAACAGTTTAAACCTAATAATAGTCATAACTGTCATGCCTTGCACACTTGCAATGTACCGGGTGTTGTACTGGCTGGAACATAGAAAGTCAACACCAAGACAAAAGTATGCCAAATTGCAGGGTCTTTATTGCTGGTGGCCACGGAGGACTTGCATCTCTCCAACCCATGGCCCCGAAAGGAGGGTGTCAGGACCTTTTATACCTGTAAAACCACCTTGGGAGTGAGGGTGAGGGGGTGGAGGTGAGGGTGAGGGCCTTCAGACGTTCTGAGGGCTAGTGGATTCTGTAAATCACCTTCTGGACGGAGATGAGGGTGAGGGGCTCGGGACATTCCTGTGGATTCCAGGGCGAAGATGAGGGTGAGGGGCTCTGGACATTCCGAGGGCCAGGGGACTCCGGACATTCTGATTGTTACTTAAGTGGTTCCCAAAAGTCAAGACTGGCATTTGTTTACACGTTGTCTGGGTAGGGTGGAAATTACAGTCCTTAATTACTTATTACAAGTCGCAGGGGCCAAGATGGCATGGGTTTGGACTGCTTGCCTGTCACATTTGGGTTACAGAGAGCAGTTTCAATAGAAAGCCGAGGTATGGTTGAGGTATGCAGCTTTATGGGGCTTTTACCATGTCACACTGGGTATGTACTGTGTGACATATAGTCCTCCATTTCATTTTCATAAGGTGAATGAAGAAACTGAGGCCACACGGCTACTAAATGGCAGAGGAAGGATTCGAACCAAGGTCTGTCCAACTCCAAA